ATATATATATATATATATATATATATATATAAATACTCAAATAATTATATACACGGATAGCAGGGCAGTACAATAAAATATATTTATCTGGGTGTCACTGAAACTCTTCCCTAGATTCCGTAGGGAGAGAGGGTAAGTTGCCCCCCACTGTACACAGGTAATAAAGTGCACCAGTTTGTATGAAAATTATTTAATTTATGATCATATATATGAGTGCAGAATTTTTTAGTACTGCACCTACCTGTTGTGGCTTTTAACCATGCAAATGCATCAAAATTCCATTATACTATTCCACTGTTCTGTGGATCTGACCTTCATCTCTTAGCTCTGCCAATGCCAAAAATCCATGGTGTCAAGGTTTTTTTTTCCTCTCTCTACCCATTTGCTCTGCTTATTCAGAAAAATCAAAGCCAATTGGAGTCTGCTTTGTAAGTTAGAATAATTGAGAAACTTTGCTCTGCCCAGTTCATATGGTTAGTATCAACATTTGTGAGGTCTAGAAGAGTACATTTTGGTTTTTGTTCACATCATATTCAGTAACTTTTTGTTGCAGATTTACAAGCTTTTGACTTCTGTGGTTAGTTACTTCTGTAGACAAATGCCATATATGCTACTGTAGTAGTGAAAGATGCTTCAACTTTGGATTGTGTTCTTTTGATTTTTTGGTTGCTATAACAAATATAGCAATTGGGTTGTAGTCACTTGAAAAGGCAAAGTAGATGTTTCCTTTGTCTGGTGAATAGGATGATTCATAGAACTCATGACCCTAGTTCTGGACTGGAAGAAAAATCTTGAGTTAGTTGTCTTACATGCTTGAATCTTAATGTTTCAGTTTTCTTTTCTCTTTAGGAACACTTCATCTTAATCTCTGAACCCTCGAGTTGTTTGTTTCATTCTTTTATTTTTCACTTTTTGTTCTCTTCCCAAATAAATAGTATCACAGACTGCTTTTGCTGAAAACTTGAATCTGGGACTGTTTTCCTAGTGCCAGATCTGTCATGCACTACGTTGTCAATGCATATATTTGATGTAAGATCCAAATTGTTCTGGTATTCTTGGTATCTGCACTGCAACTGCAGTTGGTACTAGATACAGTAGATACATAATCTCTCCCTATAACTCTGGGGTGTTTGTGTGTGAGAGAGAGAGCTAAGAAAATTCTACTGGAAAATCTGGTACACTGAGAATGAGATCTATAGACGATAAGGGATGCTTGAATTATGGACCAACACAAGACATTTCAAATAGCAGTGCTATCAGTTTTGAGTTTCACAAAGGAAATGGCCTGAATCGTACTCCTAATCATCGGACAGCCTTGGGGAAACCAACCCCATCAAAATGGGATGATGCACAAAAATGGTTGGTCAATTTGTCAAGAGGGGGAGAGAAAAAACAATCCACAACAAAGCCGCGTAATTCAAATGCAGATGACAGAAGGTTAATAGATTCAGTCCCAAAGAAGGAGGACGATTCAAGTGGAGACGATGAAGAAGGAAATGAATGCCCTGGATCTGCAAGAACAACTCAATATGAAGTAGAAACAAAGAAGGTTGATTGTGAAGAGTCAATATGGAGAATCAACAAGCCTTCAGGAAATTCTATTGCTGTTGTTAGATCAATTTGTGTGAGGGATATGGGGACTGAGATGACCCCAATTGCTAGCCAAGAGCCTTCAAGAACTGCCACTCCTATTAGGGCCATGACTCCAGTAGGAAGGAGCCCCATAAATTCAGGATCCACAACTCCAGTGAGATTTCAAAATGGGGTGCAGCCTCTTGAGCATGGTCAAACAAGTATGACATTTGCTGAGAACAGAGGCGAGGCCAGTAGGGGCTATGGTGGAACAGGACGATTTAGCAGAAACGGAGAAGAGTTCAATGTCAACAATATGCCTGAGAACAGGAACTCAGATCAAGGTACAAAGGTGAACCCTCTGGAAACCCGAGCAACAGCTTGGGATGAGGCCGAACGTGCCAAATACATGGCAAGGTGATACATTTACCCCTTTTCCTCTGCTTATGCATTGTGTAGCTATCCACTATCCCTAAACAGTTTTTCGNGTGAACCCTCTGGAAACCCGAGCAACAGCTTGGGATGAGGCCGAACGTGCCAAATACATGGCAAGGTGATACATTAACCCCTTTTCCTCTGCTTATGCATTGTGTAGCTATCCACTATCCCTAAACAGTTTTTCATTTAATTTCTTTCTGTGTGAAGTAGCCATTTTCGAGGAAGCTTTGTCACATTTTCATCTTCTGACTGTTATTAGGAATCTTTGATAATTTTCTATACAATTGGTTGTATGAGATGTTGTATTTTTGGATCACAGGTATAAACGTGAAGAGGTGAAGATAGAGGCTTGGGAGAATCATGAGAAAAGGAAAGCTGAAATGGAAATGAAACGAACCGAGGTAATACTATCCAGAATGTAGATATTCTGTAATCTGTGCAAATTTGCAGTTCAAATTTTTTTTTATTTAAATAGCTCNATAATTTTCTATACAATTGGTTGTATGAGATGTTGTATTTTTGGATCACAGGTATAAGCGTGAAGAGGTGAAGATAGAGGCCTGGGAGAATCATGAGAAAAGGAAAGCTGAAATGGAAATGAAACGAACCGAGGTAATACTATCCAGAAAGTAGATATTCTGTAATCTGTGCAAATTTGCAGTTCAAATTTTTTTTTATTTAAATAGCTAACTTTGTTTCATGGCATCAATTGGTAAATATCAAAATGCAGGACACAATCGAGGTTGCAACTGCCTTAAACTGTTGCCATCATGCAACCCTTAAACCTGAAACAAATGGAAAAATAAGAATATTATGTATGATAATGTTACTAATGAGTGCACTATAATGTTTTGCCTTTGAAGCATCTATAAGAAACATGAACACTGTCAACCATGCTATCAACATTTGCAGACAGCATAGTTTACTGTGAACTTAGTTTGCAGATAACGGTAGAAATGTTCAGTCAGCCTATTTTGTGAAAACAAGCAATCGAAGGATATCAGAAATTAATTAGTTACTTTGATGACTTCTTTTAAATTAAAACTTGCATTTTCCCAATCAACTGATTTTCTAAGTTTCATGCTGGGACTGGAAGTCATTCAGCTCCTTAATCCCTGCTGATAAAAAATAATGCTTCTGAATCCTTATGTTTTCCGTATCATAGGCGAAGGCTGAAAGATTGAAGTCTCGAGCACAAGAGTGGTATACAAACAAACTTGCTGCAACAAGGAGGATAGCTGAGGAGAAGCGCTCAAATGCTGAGGCCAAACTTAATGAAAAAGCAGTGAGGACTTCCGAAAGGGCAGATTATATAAGGAGGACGGGTCATCTGCCTTCTTCCTTTTCCCTTAAGCTGCCTTCCTTCTGCTGGTAGCAACTCTGCAGTGTGTTTAGATGTAATATCTGCCATTAACTTTATAGTTCCTTTTCATTTTCTTTCTCCTTTCTTAAATGTCAAGTTGTGGATTTATGATCAATTGTTGTATCGAGTGTTGGAAACTCCATTCAGGATGTTTTTCGAATAAGTTCTAAACACCCATGTTTGTAAACTTTTTTCAAGATGCATATAGTTCTTGATTGAGACAGTAAAGACAGAAGATGTGGTTCTTATTTGTCAAGGAGAACCTAAAATTTCTTACCCGATCTTGCATTAGCTGCCAGCAACGTGTTCTAATCAAATGATCATATTGAAAATCTGGCAAGAAACACATATGGCTGAAATTATTCAGATAACACGCTTGTATTTGATAATTTTGAGCTTGGAGGTTTTGTGAAATTGTTTATGCAGAACAATTATTTTTATATTTCTACATGATTCAGAATTTTTTGTTCCTGAGATGGTCTGTTTGTATCAGATTGCTGGAAGTGAAACCAAAGGGAAGTAGACTATCTAACTGCATCACCTTTAACCTTGTTCTTTTACCTCTTAAATAGGCCATCTTACTACATTCTAGTATCTTCATTTTCGATGCAGGGCTATTCAAGCGAGAAATTCGAAGGGTTAATCTCCCGGACTGCACTGAAAATGATTGCTTTGTTGTTGCTGCAGATTGAACTACAAGCTTCTATCACAACAGGTCTTGGCATAAGAACCTGAACAAGNACTGCACTGAAAATGATTGCTTTGTTGTTGCTGCAGATTGAACTACAAGCTTCTATCGCAACAGGTCTTGGCATAAGGACCTGAACAACCTATGAAATTGGAAAGGGTTCCCTTTTGGCTTCAAACTAGATAAAGGCAGAAATCAATCATATACCAAGCAATCATGGCATAATTTTGGGACTAACTGATTAAAAAAAAAAACCAATCTAACAATGGCCTTGTGTCAGGGATGATAGTTGGCTGCCTCCTCCTTGGAAGAAATTCTATGCTCAAGCCTTTGAAACCCAATAGCATGCTCGTTTCAAAGGTAATAAGATACTATCATTTGCATTCATATGCCCCATAAATTCTCTCGAAGGTCAGTACAGTACTCGTTAGGAAACTGAATCTCAAAACTGTGACAGAATTCGAGTGAACCTCAATTGCCACAATATGCCACCATTTCGGATCAACAAGTACCTATAAACATGAAATATCTTGGAGACTGGTATGTATTTATACTTTGCATTGGGTGGTTTTAGAGGTTGAATGACAAATACCACATTATTCCATTCCCACCCCCATTTAACTTATTATTATCAAACTACTAAATTCATCCTTTCTATATCCACCCATTAGTAACTAAGTTTATCCATGCTACATACATCCCTTTAATAAGTAAACTCATTTTATATTTTATCATAATTATAGTTTCATTCTCTATCTCATCTCATACACTTACAAAAACTTTTCAATTTAATTCTATATTTGATTTCATGTTTGTTGTATGAATTTTCATTATTTTCTGCATATTTTGATATCTCGGTCAAGTTTAATAATATATGTGTGTGTGTGTGTGTGTGTATACTTTCAGGTTATTTGTTCTTTTTTATCTTATTTAGGTTTTACATCTATACTTGTTATATCTTTTCTTGTTCGATTTTGTGTATGCGCTTGATACTTTTTTTTTTTTCATGTTCGGTTTTACGTCTTGTGGTTTTATTATTTTTTTTTCTTGTTCGATTTTGTGTATGCGCTTGATACTTTTTTTTTTTCATGTTCGGTTTTACGTCTTGTAGTTTTGCGTCTTGCAGTTGTATTTATTCCTTTAATATTTGTTTGATTTTTTTTTCCTTCTTCTTTCGGTCTTTTTTTTGTTTTCTTATTTCGTTCTTTTCTTTTTTTTTCTTATTTCAGCATGATTATTTTTTTCACTTGGTTCATTTTGGTTTTTTTTTTCTTGTTTCAGTTTTGCTTGTTTCGTAAATATTTTTATGCATTCACATTAATTGTCTTCTTTCATTATTTTTTTTCTTAACGATGACTTCTTTTTCTGATTTCGTAATTTCTTGATTTTTCTTTCTTGTTTTCCTTTGGGGTTGATAGATTTCGTGTGTGTGAGATTATTCTGNTCTTCTTTCATTATTTTTTTTCTTAACGATGACTTCTTTTTCTGATTTCGTAATTTCGTAATTTCTTGATTTTTCTTTCTTGTTTTCCTTTGGGGTTGATAGATTTCGTGTGTGTGAGATTATTCTAAGTGCTTAACATTTTTATTGAAATTTTACATATTTCATGCTCAAATAGAAAACATATTTCTAACATAATACTACAAAATTGTATCATTCATGCGTGTAACATTTTTATATTATTATGACTATAGTACCAAAGTACGTAGACTATTACACTTTTACGATTTTTAGGTTACTAGTTAATGCACACGTATTTGCACTTGCACGTGAACCATTTTACAGGGTTGACCCAATGAATCCACATTACATTTAACCCTTATAGTTTTTTAAAGAAATATTATCCATCTAATTTCCAAAAACCAGAGAGAACTCAGTTTGCACTAATGTTAGTCAAATTCACCATCTTGAATTATTATTATCTGTTACAACTAAAACTGTATGATATGCCAAGAGATTAGAGAGATTCTAAATTATATATATCTTTTAAAAATAGAGTCTTGGGACTTCTTATATTTATCAAGTTTATTTAATAGTCAGCATTATACTCTCATAAAAACGTCTACGTCAGTCAGAATCAAAAAGTGTTAATGTGTAATTGTTATCTTTCTCAATTTTTTCTTCTTTTAGCTTCTTGTTGTTTGTAGTGCTAGCAAATTAGCCATTTTATATCCTTGACACTTTTTGTCTTAAACTATGAGAAGATGGAGTCATCCTATAAAGATTGTATAGTCAATATGCTTCTTTAGCCCAACGGTTAAGGTGTAGGAATAGAATAATAGCAAACACAAATTTTTTTCATCAAAGCATCGTCACGTTTTCAACAAAGCCATGGAGGATTGCACCAGTGCAGAAAAGGAAAAGGAAGAAAGAAAGAGAATTAAGTCCTCNACTAAAACTGTATGATATGCCAAGAGATTAGAGAGATTCTAAATTATATATATCTTTTAAAAATAGAGTCTTGGGACTTCTTATATTTATCAAGTTTATTTAATAGTCAGCATTATACTCTCATAAAAACGTCTACGTCAGTCAGAATCAAAAAGTGTTAATGTGTAATTGTTATCTTTCATCCTATAAAGATTGTATAGTCAATATGCTTCTTTAGCCCAGCGGTTAAGGTGTAGGAATAGAAGAATAGCAAACACAAATTTTTTACGTTTTCAACAAAGCCACGGAGGATTGCACCAGTGCAGAAAAGGAGAAGGAAGAAAGAAAGAGAATTAAGTCCCCAAAAAAAAAAAAAAAGAATATGTAGTTTCCTTTCAAGCTTTTTGATTACCGTCGAAGCTATCAAGATGCTAAAAGAGCAGCCACACAAAATATAGCAACGATGTAATCTTTGTTTACATTGGACTATTTACAGTATAGATTGTTTCAACCAATATTAAGTTTGTTATCTTCGATCATAAACAAAAGTGTACAAAAAAAATAAAGATTTCTTTTACCAAAGGATCCATGGAAGTAACTCCAAACTTTACAATAGAAATCAATCCATTTCATACCCCAACAGCCTGAATGAAACAGAAATAAGAAGTGCGCAATCATATGCATGTGCATGTCCCTTTGCACATACAAATGGAACCAAGATTTACTCTTTGTGGGTAGAGTTGGCTATATAAACACACAGGTATTTTAGGATCTAGGATATGGTACAAAAAAAATATTGAAGTGCATGCAAAAAATTTTGACCTAAAATGCTCATATTCAAGATTAGACCTCCCCTCCCATGGCCGCAACAATGCAAGGGGTGTCAAGTTTTATAAAAGAAACATCACTCAAATAAATCCACCAATATCCGGATAGGTGAGTATGGCCTGCAATGGAAATATACTTTTTGTAGTTAGTTGTTTCCTCTATTTAACAGAGCCATTTAAATCTTTCTCTCAATAACTTTGGACAATTCTGTACAAACTAAAAGCTATATAATGTCAAAATTATATTAAAGTTCCCAATTGTGATACATTTTCCTCAATGATAACTAATTGCTCATTTTTCTTTTTTCCATTTCCATGGATTGTTAGCTTATGAAATAAAATATTGACTTTGCAACCTCAGAAAACCACTTCATAAAAGGGTTCTAATGAAGTTATCTAGATTCAGAAATTAGAAAATCATAACCTATATTGTACATGATAAACAACAGTTCAACTGAAAGACTTTGATTTCTCAGTGGAATAATTTAGAGTTTTAAGGAGAGTTCTCTTATGGAGGAAATCATACAATAAAAAGCTAACATTATTGAGTATTTCTTTAATACATGAACAACAAAATCTGTAAAATAACTTTGATGTGAGAAGCATTTAGCTACATCGAGTACTCACTGCAACATAACCTTACACAAAAAATTGATCTATACATATTATAACAACACATTAGGCCTCAAATACATCCAAATGATGACATTGTTAAGTTCCCTTCAAAACCTCGACATTGACAATTTAAATATCAGTGTCATATTATCACTTTTCTAGATCAATTCAGTTGGCTCTCATTCCATAATTAAATCATTATACCCTCAGGTTTCTCACATTAAGAATGCTCATGAAAGACAATTTCAAAATTTGCACTACACTGCCCACCAGATTGCAGAATTGATCGACAATAGATGTTTTCCGAACACAAACCAAAATAAAAATCAACAGAAGGCCTCAAAGCTGCACACAAGGAACAATCAAGAAGTTTGATACAAAAACATATTTTGATCGAACTCGTCATCGGTAGTGAGTTTTGCGGAACTTTGATTAAATTTACTAACCAGTGCAATTCCAAATCACCTTTCTTGTGAATTCTTCATTTTCTCTCCTATTAGCATTAGATGTCAACATGACTAAATCTATATGAATTACATATGATGAATGTGTTTTCCAAAAGAACTGGCATGCACCTTTGTCTGAACAAATAAACTAAAGTGCAATAAAACAAATCTTTATGGCTTTTACAAAATGATAGATCAAGTGCCAATCATACTTGAATGGAAGAAATTAATTTAATTTTATTCTAATTACCTGATCAACTACACCGAATGAAGGTAAGCTAGCTGATGGGACGACTAAATCATGTGCCACCCACAGTTATTCCTTTAAAAACTTTCCATTGCGATCTCTAGTGCATCTTTAAAGTAGCTTCAAGTATCTGTATCAGCAGATAAAGGGTAATGACAATTCCAGTAAGTCAGTAACTAAGAATCAAATTGAACAAACTTACTTAAACTATGAGTTTTTATTAGAGCAGTTTTAGCAAAAACTAAGAAACAAACCAAGAGAATAAGAAACCACAAGCAAAACTCATAACAAGCAGTTCATTACCTGACAGTGATAGCCTAAAGGTAACTATCACCAACAGAAGAAACATAGGCCACATTAGTTACCTTGTCTAATTCGAACTTATTAGACAATAGTCTCCCAATGGCACTTCCAATTCAAACGTATTCTCACCATGAGCAACAATCACTGGCTGTTCTTTGAGAAGTTGAGCACCTTTCTTAAGCTTCACCAAAAATGTCTACTGAGTAATGGGTTGTTTATGCACACCACCAGATGATTGTAGAGTGGTTCCAACAATGCTGCTCATAACCTACACAAGGCAAGTCCCATAAAGTAGAGAGATGTGAAAATAATTTAGATGATCAGTGCTAGTCCCAAGTATGGCGGAGCCATTAATCCCTGCAAAACAAAGGTCGTCATATATTAGCTGGACAAAGAATCATTAAAAGAAAAAAAATATAAATACAACTCTAAATTCACGCATTCTCTAGTTTGATAAACATATCATTAGTGTATAATAATAAATGTTCCATGAATCACCTTTCCCTATTCATGAGCCATAATTCTAATATATTCATCATATATTTAATATTAGAATTATATGTCTTATTTAACCACATTTTATGATTCTTTCTTTCCTCTCTCCATTTACGCTTAAACCAAACTCAAAGAAGTTTTTAGTCGATTAAGCATACATAGGATCACAAAGATACTAACCTCATGGTGAACCACTATTATTTTCAGTCAACCATACCAAAAGAGCTTGAACTGCTTCATATCTGACCATTGGATGCTCATTCACATCCCTGAGTATCCCAAAAAGTGCATTTGAAGTAGTTTTGTTTTGCAATTGACCCAAGACATAAGCAACCTGTAAAGTCAGTCCAACAAAATCACATTTAGAAGTGGTTAGAAAAAATAGAGCCATCAAGGCATATCAGATTAGGAATTGATAGCCCTTGAAGAAACACATTTTNTGCAATTGACCCAAGACATAAGCAACCTGTAAAGTCAGTCCAACAAAATCACATTTATAAGTGGTTAGAAAAAATAGAGCCATCAAGGCATATCAGATTAGGAATTGATAGCCCTTGAAGAAACACATTTCCAATAACCAAAGCATTAAAATGTCATATAGCAACAAATTGTGACCCTAATTTTACAAACACCATAAATATGGATGGGTAGAGAGGTAATTTTGTGCATTTAGCAATTATTTGAAATGATTATTGGATATCATCACATGGGAAAAATTCATACCCATGTGTTCGCTTATCTAACTGTGTGAGAGCCCCAATTCAACATCGTAAAAGTTTTTATTTCTCCAAATAGGTTTCACTTCCCATCACAATACACACCAATTGATTTTGATTTTGATTTTGATTTTTTATTTTTATTAAGGAAGAATTCCTGGAAAAAAAGTATGGCATAGTTAGATAATGCAAAGCTTGTCAACATGACTATTCACTTTGCGTTCAAAGAATCTCAAGCAAGGAAATTAATTAAACAAAGCAATGCGTGAAACTGCTCATTTACCACAAACATATATACTCTAGGAAAATAATTAAATCCAACCGTTGGTTTCGGAAATTAGGAAGAATTCTATATTCCCATAGTATAAATAAAGGAAATCAATAGATAAACTGAAAAAAATTAATGACTAATATGAGGTTTACATACTTGAATAGAGATGATATCCAAGAGATCTGGGTCGTTTTCCCTAGTAGGGGATGGGTTTGGCAACGCGCAGACAGTCCTTGGGTCTTTCGTTGAGAGGGGTTGTGAGGATCTCATCTGATTCCAAAATCGCTGCTTTTTGCTGCACCTTTTTGGCATCATTGGATGCTAACTGTAATTGTAGAAGAAGAGCGAAAGTTCTATAAAAAGAAGTTGGTGCTCTATTTCGTGAACGATTGAGAGGTGATGCGACGGTGATAATTTAGAGAATTAAAGAGAGAGTGAGGGAGAGGGGGAAGGTGAAAAGAGGGGGTGTGTGTCTCGATGTNCTATAAAAAGAAGTTGGTGCTCTATTTCGTGAACGATTGAGAGGTGATGCGACGGTGATACTTTAGAGAATTAAAGAGAGAGTGAGGGAGAGGGGGAAGGTGAAAAGAGGGGGTGTGTGTCTTGATGCTTTTACTCAGAATGCACAGGAGAGAGAGAAAGAGAGGGGGAAGGTGAAAAGAGGGGGAGTGAGTGATTTATTTTGTCCAATACTGAATGCATATGAAAGTGTGCGTGTGAGAGAGAAAGGGAGTATTTTTTTACGTATGTTGACCTTTTAAAATAGTATAGATATAAAACTATGTTTCACCAATAAGTATAGAAACAATTGAGATAGACACCACTGAGATTTTTCAAATATCCGAGGTAAATTTTAATGTTGGAACTTAAAGACTTAGTTATTCATTGATTATGCTTCATTCCAATATGTGGCTTATGTGTTTTTAATTTTGTGACATTGTAGGCATTTAATAGTTGAGATGAACTGTTGGAATGGGTGAAAAAAATTGGGTGTGAAAATGGAGTGATAGTGATAGTGGCAAGGCTTGATGACTCTAATCCGAGAAGGCTCTCTCGTGTGATTCTAGGTTGTGAGAGGGCTGGACAATATGATACTAGAAGTCGTAACCAANGATTCTAGGTTGTGAGAGGGGTGGACAATATGATACTAGAAGCCGTAACCATCAAAAAGTTGTTGAAACAAAAAAATGAAGTACTGCAACAAAAAAATGTGGACATCCATTTAAATTGAAGGCAGCACAATTAAGCCATGGAAATTTAAGGGGGGGTAAAAGTGATGAATGAGATTCATAACCACAAATTGATAGGAAATTTAGTGGATCACTCATACGTTGGCAAATTGACGAATGATGAATTTGAAATTTTGGGGGGAATGTCGAAGAGCAGTGTTCGTCCACGTGCCATATTATGTCACATAAATAAGAGGGATAAAAGCAATGCTTCAACGCTAAAAACCATTTACAATGCTCGATTGAAATTGAGAATAGCTAAAATGGCCGAGCATAAACACATGCAATAGTTATTTAAAAGAATTCATGAGTATGGTTATGTGGAGCGTCATCGCAGTGAACTAGTGACTAAGATAGTGAAAGATCTCTTTTGGGCACATCCAAAATCAATTCAACTCACAAAGACTTTTCTTTTTGTTTTTATGATGGATTGCACATATAAAACAATAAGTACCGACTGCCACTATTAGAGATAACGATTGTGACTTCTACGGGAAAAACTTTTGTGGCTACATTCATTTATATGGAATCAGAAAAAAAGAAAATTATTGTTGGGTACTTGGGTGTTTTAGATCTATTTTTGGGGATATGTCGCTGCCTAGGGTTTTTGTGTCTGATTGTGACTTCGACCTCATGAATGCAATTAAGTAGGTCTTCCTAGAGGCAACCAATATATTATGTCATGTTCATATAGAGAACAATATCCTAAAAAATTATATAAAGTCATTTTTAAAGAAGGAGACGTGGAATAAATTCAATGCAACATGGTCTAATGTCATGCTAGCATCGATGGAAGAGGAATACAAGGAAAATATGCAACAAATGGAGATTACATTCCCAGATTATCCAAATGCATTGAAGTATCTTCAAGAAATGTGGCTTGTAAATCATAAACATCAGTTTATTTCAGCATGGATTGATCAATGCTTCCATTTGGGGAACACTTCAACTAACCAAGCNGGGGGGTAAAAGTGATGAATGAGATTCATAACCACAAATTGATAGGAAATTTAGTGGATCACTCATACGTTGGCAAATTGACGAATGATGAATTTGAAATTTTGGGGGGAATGTCGAAGAGCGGTGTTCGTCCACGTGCCATATTATGTCACATAAATAAGAGGGATAAAAGCAATGCTTCAACGCTAAAAACCATTTACAATGCTCGATTGAAATTGAGAATAACTAAAATGGCCGAGCATAAACACATGCAATAGTTATTTAAAAGAATTCATGAGTATGGTTATGTGGAGCGTTATCGCAGTGAACTAGTGAGTGAACTAGTGACTAAGATAGTGAAAGATCTCTTTTGGGCACATCCAAAATCAATTCAACTCACAAAGACTTTTCTTTTTGTTTTTATGATGGATTGCACATATAAAACAATAAGTACCGACTGCCACTATTAGAGATAACGATTGTGACTTCTACGGGAAAAACTTTTGTGGCTACATTCATTTATATGGAATCAGAAAAAAAGAAAATTATTGTTGGGTACTTGGGTGTTTTAGATCTATTTTTGGGGATATGTCGCTGCCTAGGGTTTTTGTGTCTGATTGTGACTTCGACCTCATGAATGCAATTAAGTAGGTCTTCCTAGAGGCAACCAATATATTATGTCATGTTCATATAGAGAACAATATCCTAAAAAATTATATAAAGTCATTTTTAAAGAAGGAGACGTGGAATAAATTCAATGCAACATGGTCTAATGTCATGCTAGCATCGATGGAAGAGGAATACAAGGAAAATATGCAACAAATGGAGATTACATTCCCAGATTATCCAAATGCATTGAAGTATCTTCAAGAAATGTGGCTTGTAAATCATAAACATCAGTTTATTTCAGCATGGATTGATCAATGCTTCCATTTGGGGAACACTTCAACTAACCAAGCTGAGAGTAGTCATGCCAACTTGAAGCAGNGATCTATTTTTGGGGATATGTCGCTGCCTAGGGTTTTTGTGTCTGATTGTGACTTCGACCTCATGAATGCAATTAAGTAGGTCTTCCTAGAGGCAACCAATATATTATGTCATGTTCATATAGAGAACAATATCCTAAAAAATTATATAAAGTCATTTTTAAAGAAGGAGACGTGGAATAAATTCAATGCAACATGGTCTAATGTCATGCTAGCATCGATGGAAGAGGAATACAAGGAAAATATGCAACAAATGGAGATTACATTCCCAGATTATCCAAATGCATTGAAGTATCTTCAAGAAATGTGGCTTGTAAATCATAAACATCAGTTTATTTCAGCATGGATTGATCAATGCTTCCATTTGGGGGACACTTCAACTAACCAAGCTGAGAGTAGTCATGCCAACTTGAAGCAGCACCAAAATTCATCAGTCCTAGGCTTTGTTAATTCGTTCAATGCCATTCATCTATTGCTAGAACTATAAATTACAAAGATTAAATCATCATTTGAGGATAGTCTGACAAGGACTCCACATCGATTTAGAGCTCTGTTGTACAAAGAACTCATCAGCATTGTCTCCACAACTGCACTTGATAAGATTGAGGTAGAAACCAAAAAAATTGGTTGGATTGAAATTGACCCAGATTCATGTAATCACATTGCCAGTTGAACCTTAGGAGTGCCATATGCTCACAAGATCTTGACTTATATAAGAGAGGGACGATCTATTCCATCATCAGATGTGCACGGTTATTGGAAAAAATAAACTATTAGTCCCTATTTAGAGGAAAATGCACATAAGACTGTGATTGAATTGGAGCTTGACATGCTTATGAATATGTTTTTCAAGTCCACCGAGACACAAAAAATGGAAATAAAGAAGCACCTACAAGCCTTGACTGATACTGGTACAACTTCCCTACTTGAGCTGGTAACAAAATTGAATTTAGAGGTAGGAAGAAAAAAAAGAGGGCGAAAAAGAGCATTGTGATGCCAGAAGAATCAACTAAGCGCAATCCATTCGAATTTGAGTATGTTATTGCATCGTTTGAGGAAAGTCAAACAAAGTTAGTCATTAATCAGTCTTCACAACAATCCATTCAAGGGCCTCTAGTGCACTCTGATTGGAAACCCATATAACCAAAGTTAACTATGCATCAACCAGAAATTCCAATAATATGTGGTATGTCAATTCCCAAATGCAGTAAATCCTATTATTGCTAATGTCACTGATATCCCAGGAGATAGACATTGCGGGTAGTTGCTGGATTCTTAAAGATAGGGGATGACGGTTGGAAACAAGTGAGGATAGACTTGTTAAATGAGTTGAAGACATTTAACATTAATTACTTTCAAGTATTGAGTGGCGAAGAACATGTGACTGAATTAGAGGAATCCATTCATTGTTGGGATAATAATGTTAGCTCTAAACACTAGATGACAATGCCAGATATATGACACANAACACTTCAACTAACCAAGCTGAGAGTAGTCATGCCAACTTGAAGCAGCACCAAAATTCATCAGTCCTAGGCTTTGTTAATTCGTTCAATGCCATTCATCTATTGCTAGAACTATAAATTACAAAGATTAAATCATCATTTGAGGATAGTCTGACAAGGACTCCACATCGATTTAGAGCTCTGTTGTACAAAGAACTCATCAGCATTGTCTCCACAACTGCACTTGATAAGATTGAGGTAGAAACCAAAAAAATTGGTTGGATTGAAATTGACCCAGATTCATGTAATCACATTGCCAGTTGAACCTTAGGAGTGCCATATGCTCACAAGATCTTGACTTATATAAGAGAGGGACGATCTATTCCATCATCAGATGTGCACGGTTATTGGAAAAAATAAACTATTAGTCCCTATTTAGAGGAAAATGCACATAAGACTGTGATTGAATTGGAGCTTGACATGCTTATGAATATGTTTTTCAAGTCCACCGAGACACAAAAAATGGAAATAAAGAAGCACCTACAAGCCTTGACTGATACTGGTACAACTTCCCTACTTGAGCTGGTAACAAAATTGAATTTAGAGGTAGGAAGAAAAAAAAGAGGGCGAAAAAGAGCATTGTGATGCCAGAAGAATCAACTAAGCGCAATCCATTCGAATTTGAGTATGTTATTGCATCGTTTGAGGAAAGTCAAACAAAGTTAGTCATTAACCAGTCTTCACAACAATCCGTTCAAGGGCCTCTAGTGCACTCTGATTGGAAACCCTTATAACCAAAGTTAACTATGCATCAACCAGAAATTCCAATAATATGTGGTATGTCAATTCCCAAATGCAGTAAATCCTATTATTGCTAATGTCACTGATATCCCAGGAGATAGACATTGCGGGTAGTTGCTGGATTCTTAAAGATAGGGGATGACGGTTGGAAACAAGTGAGGATAGACTTGTTAAATGAGTTGAAGACATTTAACATTAATTACTTTCAAGTATTGAGTGGCGAAGAACATGTGACTGAATTAGAGGAATCCATTCATTGTTGGGATAATAATGTTAGCTCTAAACACTAGATGACAATGCCAGATATATGACACATTATTGCATCATGTTATAACATTGTTGTAGTCCATATATCACGCCAGCAGTGTCTTACATTTCTTCCTCTTCGTCAACAGGCACCTTACAAACCAAGTCATCGGATTCTCGAATGTGGTTACATCAACTCAAGTCACTTTTATCAGAGTTGAGTTCACTTGAGATTCTCCCTCACCTCTTGTGTCAACTATGTGGCACACGTATTATTATAATTTGGCTAACAGGTGGATTACTCCATATTTGATGCGGATAGAAAATTTTAAGACTTTATTAGGAAATAATCAAGTAGCTGCAATTGTAAATATTTTTGATGACGTAGCCTAAAAACAAAGTATTCTTTTTTTTTTTATATCATAATAATTTTATGTTTTCATAAATATTAGGTCACTATTGATTTATATTTTTTGTTTATAATTTTAAATAGGGGGTCTTCAAAGTTTTACAATCCTCAACTTATGCACTTGATAAAGAGAAATTAAAAACACCTTCTGCAAGAAATTTCTAGAATGAGGATATGTCATTTTCACTCCAAGATTTGTTGTCATTTTAATCTTGAACTTTTGTGAGGACTATTTACTCCATGTCAAAATGTCTTTGCTAAAATAATATTATCGACTAAATAGTTAACTCAGTTCTATATGGATTCATGACATCCTTGCACAAAAATAAAACTTCACTAATGTAATTTCCTATGAAGGATGCCAGTCATTTCTATCCATGAAATTGGCCCCTTGCTTACTTTTATCTCTGGTGTTTGACCAATGTAAAAAAATTTGAATTTGAAAGACAAAGAAATAAACTTGTCAGGATATCTGCCAGTATCAATACATAATTTTTTTTTCTTTTCTCGTCATTGTGATGCACCATTGTACAATAATACTCTTAATTGTGATATTTGATATTCAAGTTCTATTTATAGTATTGCTATTTTATCGGACATCAAATACATGATTCAAAAGTTGAAAGATATATTAACATGTTAATGGGGTGGACTTAGTCATTTATAGGGTAAGTTTAGTAACAAATTAATAGTTACATAATAGGGTGAGTTTAGTCATTAAAAGGGTATACACAAAATGAGTGAACTTAACTACTAATAGATGTATGTAGTATGGAATGGACTTAATTACTAATAGGGTAAATATAGAAGAAGTGAATTTAATAATTTAATAATAAAAAATTAAACGAGGTGTAGAGTAAGAATAACCCACCCTACAATATCACCGTGTTACCATTCTAAAACTGTGTGCCGATCTCATGTAGTCTTAAGGAATCAGATAACATTCTTATTGTTCTAATTCGTTGTCTTGATCTGCTGAATAACTCTAGTATATTATTATCACATTATTGGGGCTTTAAGTTAGTAGAAATGATCAAAACCCCATCAAATCCTAGGAGAAAGTTTTCAGTTGGCTTTGATTGCTTTGTGGTTGAGAGATAATTCCATTCAAAATTTGTTATTCTTTCAGGAAAGCAACCTAAGTGTAAAAACTTTGAATGAAAAACATGGGGAAAAAAAACTTAAAAATTCAAAGAAAAGTTAGAATGTGTTAGAAGAATAAATATCAAGTATATTTTATATCTAGGTTCTTGATAAAAAACACTTATACTATCTCTATTCATACAAAGATCACGCTCGAGCCAAAAAGTTCTATATAGCAACCCGATTTTTTTATTAAAAAATGACCGACCTTGTCTAATAACCATTCAAAATGAGTGTACGACGCTAAGTGAAACTAATTAGATTTTTAATAAATTAAACAAAATGATAATTAATGTTTTATATTAAATATAAAAAAATATCTCATTTAAAATTTTAACCATAGACCTTATGTTTTTTTTGTGTATGCCCACTCCTCTCTTTTTTTTTTTTTAATTTCAATAGTCAAAGACATTCGTATCAATTTACACATATTTCAATTAATTTCATCTCCAATCCAATAAAAAACAGAACGTCTACGCTGAGATTAGGGTTGGCCTCAACACTTTTACACCAATGGTGTAGTATAAGCTCAAAAAAAAAAAAGGGCATATCTGCGGGGAAAACTTAAAACTAGGAGGTGTCTGAGTGTAATTTACCCGAATAATAAAAAAATCAAGAATATCCCAGGGCACCATTTAGCGTTCACAAGGCTCTCTAAATTAGTTCTCTCTCTGGGCGGTCGGTGCCTTCTCTTTTTTCCTACTGTGCGAATTTTGTAGGAAAGAACTTTCTCTCTCTAGAAGCAGCATCGCCGCTCTTTCTCTCTCTACAATCGCTGTGGTTCATAGGTAAGATTTCCCAATACTAATCATATATAAGAGGGAACGATTCACTCTAATCAACAGTTGTAGGGTTTCAATATCCCTTGGCTTCGTATTCGATTTCTAGGGTTTCATAATCGATCCTTTTCTCTATCTTTACAAATTTAGAGCTTAAAACGCATACTTTTGCTGTTTAATTTCTATATTTGTGGTCAGATCTGTTTGAGATTTGAGATATGGCTTTGAATTACCGTCTCTGAACTTAGGACCTTTTTGAGCAAATTTGAAAATTTGGGTGGTTGATTTGGTCAATTTTAGGGGTAGGGTTTTGCTATTTTAGCGAATTTAGGAAGGATTAGGGGTGTCTGTGGGAGTGTTAGGGTTGAGCAAAGTTATATGGCGGCTGGAAGACATGGTGGTTATCGTGACAATGAATTTAGGGACTGGGAGTCTGATTTGAATGGGTCAAGGAGGGAAAGTGGTTATTCCAAGGGAGAATATGATCGGGTTAGGAACGGTGACTATGATGGGGGTCAGGTTCGCAACAGGGATAGGAGAGATAGGGGTAGGCTCAGGCAGAAGGATATTAAAGAGAGGGAAGTGATGAACAGTGGGTACCGCTCTGCTTCAAGTAGGAGTGACTCTGGGAGTAGTGGTAGTGTTGGCAGTGGTGGTGGTGGACCAAGGCGGTGTGGGTTTACTGTTAGCTCTGTGGGCACTGTAGACCGAGAGCCTGGGGAGTTGTCGAGCGATGGATCTGATGCGGCTATTGAATCAGATCCACAGCTTAATGATAATGAGGTTAGGCAGTTAGAGAATGGGACTTGGTTTCAGTCGCCTATGCAGAGTAAGAAGAGGAAGTTTTCGCCAATTGTTTGGGACAGAGATGACAAGGAAATGAACAAAACATCCAAGAGTAGAAATTCTCCAGCAAATACTTTTCTCCCTCCTCCACCTCCCTTGCTCAAGTCAAATCGCCAGTCACGTAACCCTATTTCTGATGGGGTTTTGGAAAATTCTCAAATGGAAGATATTGGACTTCAGAGCTCAGAACCACTTGCAGTCAAACCTCCTTTGGCGCCTGAGTCCCATGTTTCTGCTGCATCTGTATCCCCAGCTGTGGTGTCTTCTTCCCCACCTCAAGAAGAGCGTTGGGGTAACTATCAGGGAGTAGAGAAACTGGATGATGATGATTATGTGCCAACACGAACTATTAGGGCCTCTCGATGGGCAAATGACGCCAACTCCCCAGTCGATGAAGGTGAAATTTCTAATGATGAAGAAATTCCTAGAACAAAGAAGAAGCCCCTTTCTGAGTCAATTGAAAGGAGGACAAGCAAGAACTCATTGAGTCCTGAGCTTGGGGAACTCAGGAGAGAAGGTTTTGAAGGGAGTACAACAAGGTCATCTGAATCTGATGAACGTATCAGGTCCTCCAGTAGAGATGACAACAATTTGGACTTGAATGACTTTATGGATATAGATGAGGACCGATATAAGGATGGTGTTGGTGTTAGCCAGTCAGATACAGGTTCTGAGGATGAACAGGATTCTCGTAGTTCACCTGAGCCCTCACTACCCCAACAAAGAAGTGTGAACATGCTTCAGGGGTGTAGAAGCGTTGACGAGTTTGAGAGACTGAACAAGATAGATGAAGGAACTTATGGGGTTGTTTACAGAGCCAAAGATAAGAAAACTGGAGAAATTGTTGCCCTGAAAAAGGTCAAGATGGAGAAAGAAAGAGAGGGGTTTCCTTTGACGTCTCTGAGGGAAATAAACATTCTTCTTTCCTTCCATCACCCCTCCATTGTGGATGTTAAAGAAGTAGTTGTTGGGCGCAATCTTGACAGCATTTTCATGGTANGGGTAAGTTTAGTAACAAATTAATAGTTACATAATAGGGTGAGTTTAGTCATTAAAAAGGTATATACAAAATGAGTGAACTTAACTATTAATAGATGTATGTAGCATGGAATGAACTTAATTACTAATAGGGTAAATATAGAAGAAGTGAGTTTAATAATTTAATAATAAAAAATTAAACGAGGTGTAGAGTGAGAATAACCCACCCTACAGTATCACCGTGTTACCATTCTTCTCCATTCTAAAACTGTGTGCCGATCTCATGTAGTCTTAAGGAATCAGATAACATTCTTATTGTTCTAATTCGTTGTCTTGATCTGCTGAATAACTCTAGTATATTATTATCACATTATTGGGGCTTTAAGTTAGTAGAAATGATCAATACCCCATCAAATCCTAGGAGAAAGTTTTCAGTTGGCTTTGATTGCTTTGAGGTTGAGAGATAATTCCATTCAAAATTTGTTATTCTTTCAGGAAAGCAACCTAAGTGTAAAAACTTTGAATGAAAAACATGGGGAAAAAAAACTTAAAAATTCAAAGAAAAGTTAGAATGTGTTAGAAGAATAAATATCAAGTATATTTTATATCTAGGTTCTTGATAAAAAACACTTATACTATCTCTATTCATACAAAGATCACGCTCGAGCCAAAAAGTTCTATATAGCAACCCGATTTTTTTATTAAAAAATGACCGACCTTGTCTAATAACCATTCAAAATGAGTGTACGACGCTAAGTGAAACTAATTAGATTTTTAATAAATTAAACAAAATGATAATTAATGTTTTATATTAAATATAAAAAAATATCTCATTTAAAATTTTAACCATAGACCTTATGTTTTTTTTGTGTATGCCCACTCCTCTTTTTTTTTTTTTTAATTTCAATAGTCAGAGACATTCGTATCAATTTACACATATTTCAATTAATTTCATCTCCAATCCAATAAAAAACAGAACGTCTACGCTGAGATTAGGGTTGGCCTCAACACTTTTACACCAATGGTGTAGTATAAGCTCGAAAAAAAAAAAGGGCATATCTGCGGGGAAAACTTAAAACTAGGAGGTGTCTGAGTGTAATTTACCCGAATAATAAAAAAATCAAGAATATCCCAGGGCACCATTTAGCGTTCACAAGGCTCTCTAAATTAGTTCTCTCTCTGGGCGGTCGGTGCCTTCTCTTTTTTCCTACTGTGCGAATTTTGTAGGAAAGAACTTTCTCTCTCTAGAAGCAGCATCGCCGCTCTTTCTCTCTCTACAATCGCTGTGGTTCATAGGTAAGATTTCCCAATACTAATCATATATAAGAGGGAACGATTCACTCTAATCAACAGTTGTAGGGTTTCAATATCCCTTGGCTTCGTATTCGATTTCTAGGGTTTCATAATCGATCCTTTTCTCTATCTTTACAAATTTAGAGCTTAAAACGCATACTTTTGCTGTTTAATTTCTATATTTGTGGTCAGATCTGTTTGAGATTTGAGATATGGCTTTGAATTACCGTCTCTGAACTTAGGACCTTTTTGAGCAAATTTGAAAATTTGGGTGGTTGATTTGGTCAATTTTAGGGGTAGGGTTTTGCTATTTTAGCGAATTTAGGAAGGATTAGGGGTGTCTGTGGGAGTGTTAGGGTTGAGCAAAGTTATATGGCGGCTGGAAGACATGGTGGTTATCGTGACAATGAATTTAGGGACTGGGAGTCTGATTTGAATGGGTCAAGGAGGGAAAGTGGTTATTCCAAGGGAGAATATGATCGGGTTAGGAACGGTGACTATGATGGGGGTCAGGTTCGCAACAGGGATAGGAGAGATAGGGGTAGGCTCAGGCAGAAGGATATTAAAGAGAGGGAAGTGATGAACAGTGGGTACCGCTCTGCTTCAAGTAGGAGTGACTCTGGGAGTAGTGGTAGTGTTGGCAGTGGTGGTGGTGGACCAAGGCGGTGTGGGTTTACTGTTAGCTCTGTGGGCACTGTAGACCGAGAGCCTGGGGAGTTGTCGAGCGATGGATCTGATGCGGCTATTGAATCAGATCCACAGCTTAATGATAATGAGGTTAGGCAGTTAGAGAATGGGACTTGGTTTCAGTCGCCTATGCAGAGTAAGAAGAGGAAGTTTTCGCCAATTGTTTGGGACAGAGATGACAAGGAAATGAACAAAACATCCAAGAGTAGAAATTCTCCAGCAAATACTTTTCTCCCTCCTCCACCTCCCTTGCTCAAGTCAAATCGCCAGTCACGTAACCCTATTTCTGATGGGGTTTTGGAAAATTCTCAAATGGAAGATATTGGACTTCAGAGCTCAGAACCACTTGCAGTCAAACCTCCTTTGGCGCCTGAGTCCCATGTTTCTGCTGCATCTGTATCCCCAGCTGTGGTGTCTTCTTCCCCACCTCAAGAAGAGCGTTGGGGTAACTATCAGGGAGTAGAGAAACTGGATGATGATGATTATGTGCCAACACGAACTATTAGGGCCTCTCGATGGGCAAATGACGCCAACTCCCCAGTCGATGAAGGTGAAATTTCTAATGATGAAGAAATTCCTAGAACAAAGAAGAAGCCCCTTTCTGAGTCAATTGAAAGGAGGACAAGCAAGAACTCATTGAGTCCTGAGCTTGGGGAACTCAGGAGAGAAGGTTTTGAAGGGAGTACAACAAGGTCATCTGAATCTGATGAACGTATCAGGTCCTCCAGTAGAGATGACAACAATTTGGACTTGAATGACTTTATGGATATAGATGAGGACCGATATAAGGATGGTGTTGGTGTTAGCCAGTCAGATACAGGTTCTGAGGATGAACAGGATTCTCGTAGTTCACCTGAGCCCTCACTACCCCAACAAAGAAGTGTGAACATGCTTCAGGGGTGTAGAAGCGTTGACGAGTTTGAGAGACTGAACAAGATAGATGAAGGAACTTATGGGGTTGTTTACAGAGCCAAAGATAAGAAAACTGGAGAAATTGTTGCCCTGAAAAAGGTCAAGATGGAGAAAGAAAGAGAGGGGTTTCCTTTGACGTCTCTGAGGGAAATAAACATTCTTCTTTCCTTCCATCACCCCTCCATTGTGGATGTTAAAGAAGTAGTTGTTGGGCGCAATCTTGACAGCATTTTCATGGTAATGGAATACATGGAACATGATCTCAAGGGACTGATGGAGACAATGAAACAGCCATTTAGTCAGAGTGAAGTTAAATGCCTTATGCTCCAGCTACTGGAGGGTGTTAAGTACCTTCATGATAACTGGGTGCTTCATCGAGATCTGAAAACATCAAATTTGCTTTTGAATAATCGTGGTGAGTTGAAGATCTGTGACTTTGGATTGGCTCGTCAATATGGGAGTCCATTAAAACCGTATACTCATTTGGTGGTAACCTTGTGGTACAGGTGAGCTGCACTCGCACTCTATTAGCACATTTCAACTCCTCTATTCTATACGTTAGTTTCCTGTTCCTGTTTGTTTCTCCATCATGTTTTCTAATCTCTTCTAACCTTGTGATAATTTAGTTAAATCGTGGAGGGCACGTAGGATGTATTGTCCCTTTTTGGATTCTAATAGTTGTTGTGATCTTTGAGGAAATTTAACTCTGCAAAGGATAGATATATTCCTTAATCCTTCTGCCAATTTTTCCATTAAATAATGTTAATAATGATAGGAAAGACTGATGCATGCTGGTGCTATTATTCTTATGCATCTCATTTATCTTTTGTCAGTTTTTAGGTAGTACTTATCCGAGTATCTAGGCTTCCTGATTTTGTTGGTTGTGTTTGATTTTGAATGTATATGATCTAACCTTTCTAGGGCCTTTATCTTATTTTCTTCTTTTTTTTTTAAGTTGATAAAAAGATTGACCAACTAATGTGCTTAAATTTTACAGGGCACCCGAACTTCTTTTGGGAGCAAAACTATATTCTACGGCAATCGACATGTGGTCATTAGGTTGTATTATGGCTGAACTGTTGTCAAAGGAACCATTGTTCAACGGGAAAACGGAGTTTGATCAGCTTGACAAGGTAAATAAGTTAACTGACTTCATTTTACCTTCAATAACTATTTCGATAAGTCCCAAATGGTTCATTTCTCGTTAATACCTAGTAGTGACTTACAACTTAATTAGTTTTTAATTGTGCACTATGTGGATGCAGATCTTCAGAACCCTTGGCACTCCAAATGAGACGATTTGGCCTGGGTTTTCCACACTTCCTGGAGTCAAGGTGAACTTCGTCAAGCACCAGTAAGTATCCATTTTGTCTATATTCAAAATGAAGAAAGTTGGTTGTGACACTTATGTTTTCTTATTTTCCCACTGTTTTCCCAGGCCTCCAGTTTGGTGATTCTGGTCTGGTTTCTGGCCTCAATTGGTGACAATTTCAGTTCACAGCAAACATATCATTTTTCTATTAACCATTTATCTATTCCTTTCAGGTATAATCTATTGCGAAGGAAATTTCCGGCTACATCATTCACAGGATCACCAGTTCTCTCAGATGCTGGATTTGATTTGTTGAATAAACTTCTAACTTATGATCCTGAAAAGGTATTTTCTATAACAGTTGTACATACTCTCTAGGAAGTGTTATCGTTGCTTGCATTGGTCAGAACATTTATATGTTTTTGTGGTAAATGTGCAGCGGATAACAGCTGAAGCTGCTCTTAACCATGAATGGTTCAAAGAAGTTCCTCTTCCCAAGTCTAAAGATTTCATGCCTACATTCCCTGCTCAGCATGCTCAAGACAGGTATTGTAACCTCATAAATCTGAAATACCAGATTATTAATTTCACAAGGTGTTTTCTTGAACTTCAAAAACTGAACTATTTTTCATGTGATTCATAGGCGTTTGAGAAGAATAATGAAGAGTCCAGATCCTTTAGAAGAGCAGCGTCTGAAGGAGTTGCAGCAAGGGAAACTAGGGGCAGGGGGTTTATTTGGCTAAGAGTAAAAAAATTACGTACCTAGAAGCTTTGATCTCCTTACTTGATTTTTCTGCAGTACACAGATTGACATGGTTCAGGTGAGAGCTGTGCTGTGAAAGGAAGTTGGTGCGAATATTGTTTGAGACGACAGTTTTTGCTGGTTGTTAGCAGGCACCCTTGATGATCTGGGTGGTGAAACTATTTTTTACGCCTTTGCATGTCAAGCAGATGTGGAGCAGGTTGTAACTTTGTTCTCCAGGTGGTTATATAAAAATGCATATGTGACCCCGCTTTCTTCGCCAGGTGTGGCATAAAGCTTTCTTTTAAAGAAGTGTTCTAGTTGGAATACTGATTGTAACATATTTTCATTGTCACATTGTAAACAATTCTCTTAAATTTGGTTTTAAATACCAGATCAGTGCAGGTTTTCTTCTTATTTTCAGTTCTATCATTTTTAATCTTCTAATTGATTTTGCAAGAGACAGTGTAAAGCGGAGGGGGCATTCTGAACCTTTCATTGACGAAGAATTTTGGTAGAAAGAATTGTTTAAAGGTAAATTGTTAAATCTGATACATGGAATAGAATCAAGGATCTGGATTTTGCTTCCCTTCTGTCCAAAATATCTGACTTGTGGGAGTAGACTATGGTGTTTAGTACGAGGGACTTCACTTGTGTTTTGCTTCGATGCTGTCACTCACAACATACTCCTCTGACATCTTGAAAAACTGGAGCAACACATGAATTGCAAAATGTTTGGTGACAAAATGGTGTCTTGATCCATATCATTTGGAAAAGTGTATATTTGGCCATGCTTATGTGAAGTGCGAAGGTGTGGGATAGTGCATAAGTCAAGACTTGGGCAATCTAGTTGAACATGTAAAAGAAATGATATGTCGTCATTCCTTGACTTCTGGGAAAACAAGAAATGTTTTTTGGTCTTTGTGTATGTGAAGGTGCAAATTCTGCATTGTGGATTGTACTGTTGCAAAGTCACCGAAGTTTGTAGTATTTGGGCCATTACTAGGACTTCATAGAATGACTTTGTTTCACATATGCATACTGGCTGCCATTTCCTGTGATGTTCTTCTCTGATGAATTAGCAAAGAAATTTACGGATCAAATGCATATAAAGATATTCAGTTTCCAAGTGACATCAGTCTCCTTTTCTTTTTCAAAATTTAGGAGTACAGCTTAATTGACCTTCTTTCGTTAGTAAAATTAACATATCACAGTAAAAGTTACAGGTCCAATCTGACTATCGGCACTAAAGGCGGTTAAAAGTTATGAACATATCATCAAGTGAACTCAACAGAAATGCACATCCTGGCAGAATTCATACCCTGACTTGAAAAAATATGTATGTGACTTTACTCGTTCTTTTATAGCATGAAGCAGGGATGTGGCTTGAGGTTGGGTTGTGCATGATTTTATGAAGCTTGTTTGTACCACATTAAGCTTATGAACCAAGCATTTTGAAGGCTTCAGCAAATATTAGCGTAGATTTAGTTTTTATGTGGGCTTGATATTGGTTTGGCAGGAAATATATATATATATATATATATATATATATATTGTACATTTTTTATGCTTATTTGCCCGAGATATGTGGGTCCTTCTGTAATTCAGCTGTTCAACTTTCCTTTATTGTGAGTTTACTTTTGACTATTGTATTTACTGTCATGCAAAATTTGCATGGAGAAGAATGAGAGATTACTCTATGTATTGTCTTCCTTTTATGATGTGAAAAAATGTAAGCTTTAATAGATCCTGAATTTTGAGTCATTTGTCTGCAAATGTCACTGCAGTACCAAAGCAAGCAGGTCGAGGAGGCTACCTGCACACCTGGAATATATAAAATTTTTCAGTTGTCTTTCCGTTCTTCAGATATTGATTTTCTCCCTTCAGGCTCAATAGAGGTACATTACAAACCTCGTTTCTTACTCTGTGTATGATGACTCTGATTGTATTTTCTTATTTCCGTGCTAGTTTACCTATCGTTTTTTGGGAGTTTGCTTGTGGCATACTGCCATTTACCATCTTGTGATATGTAAGTAGGCCAGTAGAAGTAGTCGGAATGCATTTTCTTTTTGGTTTTTTATTTGAGGAAAGAAAAAGATGTGTCATGTTGCTTGATTGCATCTTGTTGAAATTTGTGCCGTAAATTTTGCTGTAGACTATGTTTCTGAGATAGGCATGATATTGAGATATTAAGTGGGCACTCATTTTCTCACTTCAAGGTGGTTCCTGAACTGACTTAAACAAGGCAGGATATGCTGTTAAAACAAAGGTATTGAATACTCTTCAAGATAACATTTAGGCGATCATATGTTTGTTTAATGTGAATTATGCTGATGGAAGATTATGAGATGTATTGCTGTTGACTCTCCTGTTAATTGCAAACTATTGGAATTGAAACCATATTTGCTAACACTGTTTGCCAAATTAAGAAGGTATTTGGTGAGTTTCGATTGACCCATTGTATCTCATTTTGATTATTCATTTGAATAAAACAAGGACAGGACAGGTGAGCCAAATTATTCTTTTAACAAAGTCTGAAAGTTCAATTCTGTGGTGTAGTGGAATAGCAAATGTATACGACACTGTCTAAAGTGATTTTGTCATTTTTCGAGGGATCAGGGATGTAAGAGTTTAGTTTAATGATATGAATTGGTTTGAGTTGATCATTAACATGATTTCACCGAATCAGGAATGCAGTGCTGGTGCGTAGCGCGTAAGGATGAAATTATGTAGGCATGGACTTCAATTTCCACTTACCATTGAACAAGCGTATGGGAACTTAGTATCTCAAGTCAATTTAATTGACAAATAGAGCCTTGAATATGGTGATATGAAATCCATATTCTTAACAACAAAAATATCTGATGGTTGAGTTCTGTTTCACAAGCAAACCCTTAGCTTAATGATGGGTCTCTGGATGTTGATTTGACATGCAAGAGTATAAAATAAATGAATTAGAAGGTACTTGAAAGATGATATCTTATTCCCCCCCCCTCTTTTCTCTCTCTCTCTCTCTCTCTNCCCCCCCCCCCCCTCTTTTCTTTCTCTCTCTCTCTCTCTCTCTCTCTCTCTCTCTAGTTATTTTTTTATGGCTTTTGTATGAAGAGTACTTGTTAGTCGGTGCCCAACTATGCTAAAGGTGGAGTGAACGGTGCCTTTACAAAATATGGACAAAGTCGGTGCATCATGGACTAGTTAAAAAAGAGAGAGGTGCTTGTGATCCTATTAGATATGTATTATTTAGGTTCATGCTGATGCCAAGTCGGACAGCATTTTTGTGGAAATGTTTGTAAAATTTTTTTATGCATTCTGTTATGTAAGCAATTTCGGATCAGTAAGATAAGAATGGAGAATTTGTAGTGTATAGTGGGTGTGTTTTGTTGGTTTACTGGTGTATCAACGGAACTAATCTCTCTTGTGTTTTCATCTGCACCTTGAAAATTTGGGGTAGATTGAATATCACGTTCTTGTGGTTGTAACTTGTAGATGGAAAATTGTAACTCAGATCAAGGATACTCGTCGATGGGACAATGTATTCCTGCTAATAAAGGGAAGATTATTTTTTCAAGTGAAAATTGAAAGTTGGTTCAATTTGTTTTGGCAAAAAGGGCAAGCACAATTTTTTTAAGTCATTAAGATTTGATAATTTCATTATGAGGTACGTGGGCCACGCATGTCAATTTGTATATTTTTAGTAATAATACCATTTTATTAACTCATTTTTCTCTCTTTTTTGTCCAGTATTCTCTCTCTGCTTTGTCTCTTTTGTACATTTATTATGCCCTCACTTCTCCCTTTATTCAATTGCTTTCTCCTCTTTCTTCCATCTAACTAATTCTCTCTCCTGTCTTTTGAAATGTGAATTGAAAATCGTATTTACAGAGTGTATGTATGTCTTTTTATTCTAGATTGTCCTTAATCATAAGTTCATTTTTTTCAATTCTAAGTTCATTAGTTGTTCTTGTTGGCCAAAAAGTTTAGTTTTACGTACCAGCCATAAAAAATCCCTTTTTTTTCAGAAGGTTAATTGCATTGGAAGTACTTAAAGTGTGAAGTTTATTTTATTTTAATCCCTAAGGTTTTATTTGTATTATTTTGGTCTTTGAAGTATTGAATATCTATATAATAAAGTACAATAAAACCATTCATATCACCATCACCACTACTACCATTTCTATTGTCTTACCACTACCATTATCACTGCTGTTGCTACCCTGTTGCCCCACGCCCATCCATCATTGTAACCCCACCACCACTTCTTCTATAACAATCATCACTACTATCGTTGTTGTCACCACCCTTCCTCTCCCCTCCTCCCACGACTACCCCCCAACCATCATCTCATTACCGTCTCCCACCACTACCATTACTGTCTACCAACACTACCACCGCTCGTGCCCATCTACAATCGGTGTTTAAATTCTTTTCTTTCTTCTCTATTTTTATAATTTAATTTGGGGATAAATACAAATATATTTATTGTTGACTATTTTTTTTATTACTTCGTACTTTTAGGCACAGGAAATAATTAGTATTTTTATATGTTTTCTCAAACAGATAACGTTCAGATTACTAACAATTTTTTATTATAAATTTATCACGTGATACTNACATTGTAAACAATTCTCTTAAATTTGGTTTTAAATACCAGATCAGTGCAGGTTTTCTTCTTATTTTCAGTTCTATCATTTTTAATCTTCTAATTGATTTTGCAAGAGACAGTGTAAAGCGGAGGGGGCATTCTGAACCTTTCATTGACGAAGAATTTTGGTAGAAAGAATTGTTTAAAGGTAAATTGTTAAATCTGATACATGGAATAGAATCAAGGATCTGGATTTTGCTTCCCTTCTGTCCAAAATATCTGACTTGTGGGAGTAGACTATGGTGTTTAGTACGGGGGACTTCACTTGTGTTTTGCTTCGATGCTGTCACTCACAACATACTCCTCTGACATCTTGAAACCNTTGTTTAAAGGTAAATTGTTAAATCTGATACATGGAATAGAATCAAGGATCTGGATTTTGCTTCCCTTCTGTCCAAAATATCTGACTTGTGGGAGTAGACTATGGTGTTTAGTACGAGGGACTTCACTTGTGTTTTGCTTCGATGCTGTCACTCACAACATACTCCTCTGACATCTTGAAACCCTGGAGCAACACATGAATTGCAAAATGTTTGGTGACAAAATGGTGTCTTGATCCATATCATTTGGAAAAGTGTATATTTGGCCATGCTTATGTGAAGTGCGAAGTGTGGGATAGTGCATAAGTCAAGACTTGGGCAATCTAGTTGAACATGTAAAAGAAATGATATGTCGTCATTCCTTGACTTGTGGTCATTCCGTCATTNTTGATCCATATCATTTGGAAAAGTGTATATTTGGCCATGCTTATGTGAAGTGCGAAGGTGTGGGATAGTGCATAAGTCAAGACTTGGGCAATCTAGTTGAACATGTAAAAGAAATGATATGTCGTCATTCCTTGACTTGTGGTCATTCCGTCATTTTCTGGGAAAACAAGAAATGTTTTTTGGTCTTTGTGTATGTGAAGGTGCAAATTCTGCATTGTGGATTGTACTGTTGCAAAGTCACCGAAGTTTGTAGTATTTGGGCCATTACTAGGACTTCATAGAATGACTTTGTTTCACATATGCATACTGGCTGCCATTTCCTGTGATGTTCTTCTCTGATGAATTAGCAAAGAAATTTACGGATCAAATGCATATAAAGATATTCAGTTTCCAAGTGACATCAGTCTCCTTTTCTTTTTCAAAATTTAGGAGTACAGCTTAATTGACCTTCTTTCGTTAGTAAAATTAACATATCACAGTAAAAGTTACAGGTCCAATCTGACTATCGGCACTAAAGGCGGTTAAAAGTTATGAACATATCATCAAGTGAACTCAACAGAAATGCACATCCTGGCAGAATTCATACCCTGACTTGAAAAAATATGTATGTGACTTTACTCGTTCTTTTATAGCATGAAGCAGGGATGTGGCTTGAGGTTGGGTTGTGCATGATTTTATGAAGCTTGTTTGTACCACATTAAGCTTATGAACCAAGCATTTTGAAGGCTTCAGCAAATATTAGCGTAGATTTAGTTTTTATGTGGGCTTGATATTGGTTTGGCAGGAAATATATATATATATATATATATATATATATNTACGAAGCTGCATAATTTGAAACACAAAAAAAAATCATATTTCAACCTACAATCTCTCTCTCTCTCTCTCTCTCACTCTCAATAGTTTTTGAATGGTTCAAAAACTGAATTTCTAAACTTAAAAATGAATCTTTTGACCATGGCAGTGTTTTAACTTGAGATTTATAGAACCAAAACAGGCTTACAACATCAGAGCATTGAACATAATGGTTGTGGATCTGGAAAAGAGAAATCCCAGTTGGTTAATATGCGTGCAAGGCATGCAGTGCCACTCGTCCGTTCAGCTAGACAGTGACGTAGCCTACTCCGTGAACTTGGCCAGGTAGTGATAATGCTTCAGATGTTTGTGTCGATGAGGGTGAAAGGAAGGCAGGCTTGTTTTGGCTGTTTCTGTATACTACGATCAGTCATTCTGAAGCAAAAACTACAGTTTTCCCGAACACAAATAGAACCAGTGAGAGTTCAATGAAGAAGATTGTATTTATTAGACCTCGATCGACCGTCCATCCGAATATCGTTATTCCCCCAGGATTGGTCTGCAAATACATCACTGCATGACCAATCAAAATGATGCATACAAACATTCGATTAGCAAATTGATAGCTCAAACAGAACTCATCCTGCTAGAAAGATCAAAATGATATCACATCTGAGGAAGAAGAGCCTAACAGGATGGCTACCTCAAACACAAAAAAATTTAAATTTTGCTTATTCAGCCTNGATCAAAATGATATCACATCTGAGGAAGAAGAGCCTAACAGGATGGCTACCTCAAACTCAAAAAAATTTAAATTTTGCTTATTCAGCCAATTGTACCCTTTAACNACCATTTAAACACTTTGTTTATAAAGTATTTTTTATTTTGAAAAGTTACCCCAAATGCAATTTTAATCAAAACACTTGTTATAAAATAATTTTAATAAATACCAATGTAAGTAATATTTTTTGGATTAACAAGTCATTCTAAATGTGTTGTGGCAGCTGCAGGAGGAATCCGTAATGCTACACTCAATGTATTATTAATTATACCAAACACACTGACGTTTCTGCCTGACCATGAAAACAGTAACTTCTCATCCCATTTCCTTTGGTTTCTACAATAGATATAGAGGATATACGAAGCTGCATAATTTGAAACACAAAAAAATCATATTTCAACCTACAATCTCTCTCTCTCTCTCTCTCTCTCAATAGTTTTTGAATGGTTCAAAAACTGAATTTCTAAACTTAAAAATGAATCTTTTGACCATGGCAGTGTTTTAACTTGAGATTTATAGAACCAAAAGAGGCTTACAACATCAGAGCATTGAACATAATGGTTGTGGATCTGGAAAAGAGAAATCCCAGTTGGTTAATATGCGTGCAAGGCATGCAGTGCCACTCGTCCGTTCAGCTAGACAGTGAGGTAGCCTACTCCGTGAACTTGGCCAGGTAGTGATAATGCTTCAGATGTTTGTGTCGATAAGGGTGAAAGGAAGGCAGGCTTGTTTTGGCTGTTTCTGTATACTACGATCAGTCATTCTGAAGCAAAAACTACAGTTTTCCCGAACACAAATAGAACCAGTGAGAGTTCAATGAAGAAGATTGTATTTATTAGACCTCGATCGACCGTCCATCCGAATATCGTTATTCCCCCAGGATTGGTCTGCAAATACATCACTGCATGACCAATCAAAATGATGCATACAAACATTCGATTAGCAAATTGATAGCTCAAACAGAACTCATCCTGCTAGAAAGATCAAAATGATATCACATCTGAGGAAGAAGAGCCTAACAGGATGGCTACCTCAAACTCAAAAAAATTTAAATTTTGCTTATTCAGCCAATTGTACCCTTTAACAACTTGAGGTTGCCTGTCTTCTGAGACATGCAAATTCCTTTCTTATAGTAGAAGAACTAAATAAGCAGACCCAAAAGCAATAGTACATCTAATGATCACTAAGAGAAAAGTCCATTCACAATTGGAGTCTTAACCAGATTAGAGTACCCTTGACAACCAACTGATGTTAAAATCTGTTCAGCTTCTCCATCTTTCTCTACATTTGTTTCCACTAAAATCAGTTTGACACTCTTTTGCTGCATTTCATGGTGTTGCGAGCTACAAACATTCAAAATTCTAGTGTCAAGGATGGTGCAGTCAATGTTTTTATTAAGGGTGACCTTTAGCTATATGTTGTTATCCAATCCATGGTGTTGGGTTGAGATTATTAGTCAGATGAACTATATCATCAACTATGTATAAGGAGAGAGGACTAGAACAATTTTCTAAACAGAGGAGCCAGGATTGCTTGAATCTCACATTCAGTGGTTCAAGAAGAAGCCTAGATTCAGGAAAGCATGGGAAAACTTCAACAAGATTGTTTCCGGTTATTGGCCATCTAGACCATAGACACCTGTTCATTGATTAATGAAATATGTATAACCAATACATTCCAACAATTAGCTAAGGATCTTATGGACATATAGAGCTGAAAACTTCATGTTATTATGTTAAAACTTTGAAAAAGACATAAATCATGGGTAAAAAGCATTCTCCGGCATTTAGAAGATCAAAGAAAATAGGGTCATCACATCCAGGTATATACCAGCAATGCTTTCCCAAATTTTTAGTTACTTACATAAGGATAGTAGAATATCTTAGTTTCTACCTTTTCCTGTATTGTGTTTTACGTAAACCACCCTGAAATGATCATGCTGTCATTTGATCTTAAGTTGTGTTGTCTTAGGGATGTAGAGAGAATAATAAAATAATACCAAGATAAATTTCTAAATATTAATCTTCAATTTTAATCATCATCCAACTCCTTTTAAATCCCCATCACTTTGTTTTTTTGCTCCGCTAATATCATTTTTCCTTTTTTCCATACAATGGATTAGTCAAGAAAGCATACAAGATAACAGATCACATATATAACTCATCTCAACAGAGTACAGAACACATGCAGCATGAGGAAGACAAAAATCAAGTGCATTGGATATCTGTGAAATACTGCTAAAGGTGAAGTTTCTAATTTTACTGTTTCTTTTTAAATATGGAAAATCTTTCCTTTCTACTGTTTCTTTCTAAATGGGGAAATCTTTAAGATAAATCTGGAATAGATGAACAAACCATATTTCAAAGCATTTGTGATTGTGCTCAATTGAATTCTAAAGTCAAAAAGTTGTAGAAGGGGTAACCTGCATTTTTTCTCCTTCCATTTATTTATTTACGTGTTTTTCACTGATAATTGTCAGCAGATCGAGAACCCATGTTTTAGGCTGAGTGAAAGCAATGTGTGATCAGTTTTGAGATATTGGGGTTTATGTACAATTCAAACCATATGACAGATCTATATGATTACTACCTAACAATATAGAGAATAGATAATCGAGGCCACGTGTGGAATAAAACTTATATAGGAACAGATAAAAAATTCAACATGAGAAAGTTGATTCACATACCCAGGGCTTGTCTCTTGTGGTATGACGACATATAAGAAGCCAATTGTGTATTCGTAGGCACTGCTACGAAATTTAAAGACTCCAAATCATTTTCAGAGTTGTTCATATGCAACAAAGCCTCCATGTTTTCCATACTATGTGAAGCTAACAACTGAGATGTATCACTGGAGCTGCATGTTACTAATGCATGCCATCTGCTTGCTAGTGATGCAATGCCTTGGGCTCTATGGGAAATTTTTGCAGCAGCATTCAGGCAAAGAAGTATCCCCACAACCTGAACAACAGAGGAGACCTGAAAAACCAAAGAGAAAAAACAAAGAAAACAAAACTTTAGTTAAGCAGAGCAACAAATTAGAGAGAAGTGTGCATTGCAATGGTAAATTCCATCAAATGTAAGCTTTATCTGGTGTAAACAAGTGCATGCAGGAGCTAGAGAAAATTTATACAGCCAACCAATAAGACAAGCCCCCAAAAATTTAAGAGTGGATCATTTGTGAATCTTGCTATGGCATTGCATCTCGAGATTCTAGAAAGTAATAAAGAGAAGATTTCATGAGCTTGGAAATGGTGACCNAATAACAAGAATGAACATATGGTGGTAAGACACTTCCTGCCAATTTTGTGCTATCCAAGATTAGTTTAATCTTAGGTGTTAAGTGCAGAATAAGAAGTGCAACTGTTTTCTATATGCAAAAGCAAAAATATAAACAAAGGCTGTGAACTAATCAAACAATTTCTATCCCCAATGAATTTCCAATTGCTAAAGCATACTTTCCAATATCGAAATTTTAATGTTTAGTTGCCATGTAAATCAGTTATAGATGATACTTTTTATCAGCTCACATAATCTCCCAGTCCATTGACCAAGAAGGTGGTAATCCTTAAATTAAATCAATTCTATAGTTTTTAGGAGCAAATTTTCAATCATTATGATCATTCACCATCTAAATAATAACAAAGATAACACCTGCATAAATAGAAACATTCATTACGGATGAGCACAAGGAAAGCAACACACACAACACCTGTGAGTACTCCCCAGACACCATCTCCAAAACATCATGTCTTATACATTGTGTTTCTTTCCAATAGGGGGAAAATAAAGAGTATTCAATACAACTCACACAAATTTTCTGATTGTATTCGTTAGCAAACCGCTCAACATGGCCACTGTACCGATCGACAAATAGAAATTTCCTGATACCATACTTTCGCAGATTGTGTGAAAGGCAAAGCAGAGACGCAGCAGCCAAAAAAGCCTGTGAAACAACAACATCTATCTCAAATGCTTTAATTTGATACTCTTCACAATTCGAGCAATCGGATAACACAAGTACAACGACAGGAAGAGACACCCCAATCAGCAGAAACACGACACAAGAAAGCCCAAAGCTGAAAACAGAGGATTGGTTGAAGCCCAGCAGAGTGAGTAATGAGTCTAAGCGTTGAAGGGTTTTATCCAAATGGGTGTCATGATCATCTTCACCGCGATGTTCTTGATTTTCTTGCTGTTGGTGTTGGTGGGTTTGATCTGCGATAAGCAGAGGGCTTTGTTCCTGTTCCTGTTCCTGATCTTGGGGTTTTGATTCCTCAACTTCGACATTGAGATCAGCCATTGATGAGAGCTTAATTTGAGATTAATCTAGAAAGTCCTAACATATTGTATCAATGATATGATATTTTGAGAAGTAGCTTGTCGTAGAAACCATGGCCGTCAAACTCAGATGACAGATCACACACGAAAAACTATAGAATATTGAAAATTTGGTGGTGTGTATTTATCACAACAGCTGTGGGTGATGAAACTTAATGATGGATGGCTCATTATTGAGTTTGATTTTTCAGTAATTCACAAATTTCATATGTTAAATCTCTTTTCAAATTTGTTAAGAGTTAGTTATCTGTGTTTCCATTCTCTAAATCAATTCAAATTACAGTAATTAATCANCTTAATGATGGATGGCTCATTATTGAGTTTGATTTTTCAGTAATTCACAAATTTCATATGTTAAATCTCTTTTCAAATTTGTTAAGAGTTAGTTATCTGTGTTTTCATACTCTAAATCAATTCAAATTACAGTAATTAATCACTGAATTCATAAGAATAATTAATTTAAACTCATTAGACTTCTTTATTATGTTAGATCAATAATGAGATGAAAAAAGAATATTATTTTTGTGTGCGGGTCTAGATTTTTTAATAGAACAATGCTATAAAATTCAAAAGTTGTAATCCAAATACATATCATCCCTTAGATTAGTGGATTCCATTAATTTTTTCAGCGAGATCCACTCATCCAAAGGATGATATGTATTTAGATTTTANCACACTGACGTTTCTGCCTGACCATGAAAACAGTAACTTCTCATCCCATTTCCTTTGCTTTCTACAATAGATATAGAGGATATACGAAGCTGCATAATTTGAAACACAAAAAAAAATCATATTTCAACCTACAATCTCTCTCTCTCTCTCTCTCTCACTCTCAATAGTTTTTGAATGGTTCAAAAACTGAATTTCTAAACTTAAAAATGAATCTTTTGACCATGGCAGTGTTTTAACTTGAGATTTATAGAACCAAAACAGGCTTACAACATCAGAGCATTGAACATAATGGTTGTGGATCTGGAAAAGAGAAATCCCAGTTGGTTAATATGCGTGCAAGGCATGCAGTGCCACTCGTCCGTTCAGCTAGACAGTGACGTAGCCTACTCCGTGAACTTGGCCAGGTAGTGATAATGCTTCAGATGTTTGTGTCGATGAGGGTGAAAGGAAGGCAGGCTTGTTTTGGCTGTTTCTGTATACTACGATCAGTCATTCTGAAGCAAAAACTACAGTTTTCCCGAACACAAATAGAACCAGTGAGAGTTCAATGAAGAAGATTGTATTTATTAGACCTCGATCGACCGTCCATCCGAATATCGTTATTCCCCCAGGATTGGTCTGCAAATACATCACTGCATGACCAATCAAAATGATGCATACAAACATTCGATTAGG